GGTGGCGAAAGCCTACGGCGGCGTGTTAAAGCACACAGCTATTTAAACATACACAACAAATCCCCACGCCCTCCTGAACTGAGCCAGTTTTTCTCTGGCTCAACCCAGTTCTAGCGGTATTGTCAAAAGAACTCGTGTCCAAAACAAATACCAGATATCGTACTTTTTGCGTTTCCTTTCGTATCTCCGCTGTTTTAACATTGCAAGGGGGTTGTGGACATGCGTCCATGTGTACATGTACAGCAACTTTGCCAATCCGTTGCTGGATGATGGACCCTCCCTCCACGTTGTGTTGGCCACGTCTCATTATTAGCCATTTCTGGAACATTGTTACAGTTTACATCATTCACGTACCGTCTATATATTGAAAGATATATGCTACATGTAGAAAACCTACAGTCTATGTAAACAGCAGTAATTTACAGCCCTTTGTCAATCCACTATGTAATGCTTCCAAGCGTGTGTTTGTCCTCGAAAGCATTTAATCTTGCGATAACTCGATACATCAGATATTCTTGGTTCTTTCGGTAAAAGAACCAAGAATATGAAAGAACCAAGAATATTAATTCCTGCAGTCACGAAAGTTTTAAGTAAAAATTCGATACATCAGGTCCATAATATCCACGCAATTTTATAATTCTAATATTTCATTGATATTGTCCCATCTTTGCGAGCGTCATCGTGGTCGTCCTATGTTACAGACAGACGGACAGACAGACAAAACAGATGGATAACGCTAATTCATTGATGCTTATGGCTTGAGAGCGTTCCAACAGATGTTGGTTCATACGTGATCATTCTTACCATACAACAATGGCGTATTTTTATTTATTTATTGACTTCTTGATAAAATGTTTGGGTTGGAGCCATTCCTAACATTGGCTCTTAATTGTTGACCAGAGGCTGGAAAAAGGGTTGGGTGGGTGGGACGGGGTATATGGAGGGGCGGGCAGCCAAATCACCTGCCTTAGTGGACTTAGGGCCCTAGGGGCTGCCTCGGGCCCCGTCCCACCTCGTGTCTCGGCCGTGCCTTTTGTCACGGCGGGGGCTGGTGGCGTGGGGGTCGTTCTCGCCGGCCCGCCGGCCGGCCAGCCAGCTGTCACGGAGAAGCTATTTAATGGATGCACGTCACCACTATTCGCGCACAGGCTGTTGCGTTGTAGACTTTGCGCATTGTATTATTTCGTTGAAGGCAAAACAAGCCATGGTCACATCATTATCATCATCAAAGTGTGCCATTGTGTTTCCACTGCTGGATTCATTAAAACCTCCCCACTCTGCAGTCGCCATCCCTCGTGTCACTGCGATGCCATAATGCATCTCACACTCCTTGCACACGAGCTGATTTCACTTCATCTCATATATACACATTACGGTAATAGTCATAGATACGGTAGTATATGTAAATACATGCACGTGCACACGCATAGATACGCATGTGCTCCATGTCCGCCGCGGTAGTCCAGTTAGGAGTGTTCTTTCCTTCGGCTGTCATTCCGTAACCCAGTCTTGTCCACTGGTCATCAACATGGCCTGCCCCAAGCCCACTAAACTTTCCTTAACAGTTAATGTGATCCGTGTGTTCATCCGTGTAATTCCGTTGTACCATATAGTGTATCATTAAACGATATCTTACAAGCGTTCATCCTATATATTTTATATGATGTGTGGTATGAATATATAATCGCGACGTGGAATCATTTTACATTTCGCTTTGATGCGTTGTGGGGGCAATAATATACAGTTAATACATTATCTATACACATTTATCTTTGCCTTGTACTATGTACAGATTACACGTGCAGCAGGCTGTGACATCTTGATAGATATGAGCGTACATCAACGTATTTCCACATTAATATCAAGAAAGGTATTGCATGTGAGCTACGACTCTTGGCCACGGCTAATGTCAGTGGCGAGTGATATTCGAACTGGTTCTGGAACCAGACCCCCGCTCCCTGCTTCACCAAGATGCCGCTGGCCAGCGTAGCGATGCATGGTAAAGACAAGCCTCGTGGATCGATACGGGTTGGCGAGACCCTTCATCAAACAGTGGAATTGGCACAGCTCGCAATTGTTGTTATAATTATTTAAGCTACGGAGAGGGCGGTTATGTAAGGGACACGCACGGAGGAGAACGCGATGAAACGCGTTGTTAAATGAAAACACGCTCACGAAAAAAAAGCGTGGAAATTTAATTGAATTAGTGAGTCACAGGGCCATTTGATTGCTCTATGGCCATTGCGTAAACGCGCTGCGTGCTTTGTTGGCGCATGTGTGTAGTTTATATCATGTGACCTTTGCGATTTTGAGCACTGGCAGTGTGGATCACAATTATGGAGTGAGGCGGATTATGAAACTACGTAGAATTGAATGCTCTCCGAGCGTTCAATTTGAACAGAACTGGATAATAGAAGTGCAGCATGAATGACGCTATCTAAAATGTCATTGTTATTACTGTTATAATGCAAAGGGAAAACAAGAATGTTTACAATCAGAAATATGGACACCGTGGTTGAAAATAGAAAACATTAAAGGTGTGCAAAGTCGCATGGAGAGATGCATGATTGAAATTACAGATAAATTAACACCTGGATCAGGAAACGGACTCAAAACAGAGACAGTACGTTAACTATACTCTTTGGTTTTATTCGGTAAAGTCACGTAGGTAAAACGAATTAAAATAAAATAAACAATTAAAACACGACGTTTTGGAGGCAATGCAAGCTTCCGTCTTCAGGTGGGACCAGTCACAGCCAAAATCGCTGCACCAAGTGACTGGTCCCACCTGAAGACGGAAGCTTGCGTTGCCTCCGAAACGTCGTGTTTTAATAGTTTATTTTATTTTAATTCGTTTTACCTACGTGACTTTACCGAATAAAACCAAAGAGTATGAATCCTTGCAGTCACGAAAGCTTCAAATCTAGAAGTCCGTTAACTGTTAAGGAAAATAAGTGCGCTTGGGTAGGACACATTATGGCTGGAAGGAATAATGTCCGATAGGCGAGACTTGTAAATACATGGTAGACAAAGAAGATTATTTGCCCCAGAGGACAACCACCATTGAGATAAAGTGATAAGATCACTTATTGTGAATTTTGGCATGGCAGGACTGTGACGAATGGTGACGGGTTGGGGAGGGCGTCATCCAGCAGTGGATAGATCATGGCTGATGATGTGCAGGAGTGAGATTCGCTGTGGAGTTGCAGAACCATGAGGGATGGACACGGCTTAGGGGGATCTTCATCCAGCAGTGGATCGACAAAAAGGCTGCGAAAGGAGAATGAAGTACCCATCGCTTCCCTTAGGGCACAATTAGAGCACCCCGGTCACAAAAGCACCCACGTAGTGCATTATTAAAAGTGGTGTTGGCGTGAGCAGGCGGGATTAAGGGCGTCTGTTTGGGGGGGGGGAAGGGTGGGGGATGTTAGTCTGTTTTTAGCTCGCAGCCTTTCTGCAAGCGTCGTGGGTTTCATGGCCAGCTGCCGCGTTCCCTCCAGCGTGGTATGCGGAGCAAATATCCCACATCATTCATTCACTGCATTCCAGGTGTCCCCGTGCGTAAAGGACACGGTTATCGCTCAATGGGCTCTCACCTGTGCTCATGTACGCGGGATGCAAAGCAAAGTGCCGTAATTCTACAAGCTTGGAATTTATTTTCCACTATTCTTTGTGTGCCATGTTCTATCCACTGTTCGATTAAGGCTTCCATATACCCAAGGCAACCCTCAAACTCCTGCGATGCTAGAATGTATTTCAGTCCTGCACAACATCATCATCATCAGCAGCAGCTATAGTTTATCCACTACTGGATGCAAGTCTTCCCACGCCGTCGCCGCCATCCTTGTCGATCGTGGATGATGCCACAATCCATCTCATTGCTGCACATGAGCGGATCTCATTGCTCCACCTCTAGGGCACATTATCCCTTTCGGCCGTTGTTCATTCACCAGTCTCGTCCATCGGTCACCATCCTCACGCTTTACGCAAAAACAACCCTTTAATGCCGATATTTGATCATTTCACTGCTGGCTATTCCAAGTGAGTCATATTGTCCCGTCTGCTGTAATCATTCCAGAAACTCTAACGAACAAAGTGTTCTATTAGCCTCAATGACTTTCTTCCAACTCTCATGGGAGTCACATTTGTAAAACAGGAATGACAATGACCACATTTTCAGCTGGTCACCGATTAAAATAAAAAAGGGATCTGCTGATGACAAGTTGTGTGCTACTGGAAGGCAGATGGTCCTTTATGCCATCATGTAGCATGTATATATATACCGCAAACACCATATGTTGGTGTAGGGTTTAAGTTCATAAACCCTAAAGGTAGCGCTTGCATTACAGCACGAGAGAAAAGTATTCCTTGGCATCTGGTAAGAATTCCAAAGTTCTCGTGTTATCAATCATGCCTATATTTTTAGAAGCTATTGCGCAATACCCAGAATGACACGCATCCGTAAACACTGTCCATGACGACACGGTTGTGGGTAAAAGTGTTCTTTCCAGGACGTGTCATATTTGGGGAAATATGAAATGTGACCCTTGAGCAATAGTGTGCATGAGCTTTTGGGGGAGAAAATGCAGTTTGTGTACAAAACTCCGACAGTGACGTCGTAAGTGTTTTGGGTAATGCAAGCCATAGAAATGCGCAATACCGTGGAGACACGCACGCTTGGAATGACACTAACATACATACAGAGGAACGCATGAGTCAATGGTAAAAACACATTACAGACACCATATTGACTGTAAGGGAAAAGCGAGTGGGTTTGGGTAGAACACATAATGGCTTTAAGGGATAATGGAATATTGACAAGACTGGTGAAGGAATGGCAGTCAAAGGAGAGAAACACACAAGCGAGGAAGACCACCATGGATAAGAATCGATGGGCTAAGCTCTTGTACAAAAGCGAGATGAGTTGTGGATAACATCGCACGACTGTGAGAGGAGGCCTTCATTCAGCAGAATGAAGGCCTCCTCTCACAAGGACACATTTACTGTTACAATACTTTAATATATTGATTACGTTCACCCTAATGTATCGAATCGCGTAATAAATGTATAGTAATCGGTTCCCATGATCTCTACAGCCACTCGTGGCCACTACACTCACTCCAGTGTAAGAAAAACATCTATTATTTTATCGGATTGTAGCCATCAAAATGGGACAATTAATTGCATCGAGTGAGGATGAATCTCTAAATGTATATAATCATAGCAATCATAAATTCATGCCCTTTGTTTATCCAGGAATGCCTGAGTCTTAAGACTGTTTTTCAAGAGGGTCTTGCAATTGGGATGTTTGGCCAATCTCATTAAGGAGTGTGAGCATGACTTGGGATTAACCAGAGCTGAGTACCCGGAGAATACCCACACTTACGAAGTGATAGCTCAGAAATAACCACGTACCTAGGAGGTTTATGAGTTATGAATACACATAATTTCTAGCGTTATCCTGCATATGTTAAACTAATTAAATTCGTTACAGCCATGTGCCAATATATGTTGAACTACTTTCACACCTCCGTGCTAATCGGAGGTGCTAAGATCTCTGCACGTCGGTTTTGCTTGCCAATACTTCACCATGCTGGTCAATGAGGGTGGATGAAGTGCGCATGTGTGCGCGAGAGGGTCAGTTTTGACCGGTTGACATATCACTCGCTATTGATGTTAGCCACATCCAGGAAGCGAACCAAGAGAGCCAGGTCCATTGCGCAGTGAGCAAAGCACCGGAACCACCGCTCCCCTCCCTCCCTACCTCATATCGTCATTCGTGATGAAAATCTGTTACCTGTGCCAACAGACAGTGCCCAACCTTGCCACACCGTTGTCACCTATATATATAGTTTTGTATCAAACGTAACTCTGCAAGCCGGCGACTTCCCTTCCGTAAACGTGGACTGCAGAGCAGCCACCGCGTGCGGCAATGCAGCGCGCACCGTGCGTGCTCTCTAACCCCGGGCTCTGGCCACAAACCAACCACCCCAACCCCCTGCCGAGACGCAGGAAAAGCCAACGGGCTGACATCAGAGCCGAGTGCTGTTTGCCCTCCCCATCCACATCCCCTCCGACACTCCACCCACCACACCGCACCTCCCTCGCTCTCTCTCTCTCTGCTTTCCTCTCCTCCTGTCGAAAAGAGGGTCCCCCCCCCCCACCCACCACCACCATCACCATCTCTCCCCTGCCCCGGTCCGCCCCGTGGTACAGCCCCTGCCTTTTGTCCACGCTGCCTTTGGAGCCCCCTTCTCATACTGCTGCTGTTGCCGTTCTGCGTTCTGTGATCAGCCAAGCGCACGGGCCGTGGCCATTCAGGGCGAGACAGAGCGAGGGACGGGAGAGAGAAGGGGAGGAGGTCGAAAGGGGAGAGAGAGAGAAAACAAAACTAATTACATCGCCGGGTGAGTCTTAATTTGAAAAGGGTGGAAGACGCCGAAGCAGAAGATATATATATTTTTTTAAATCGGAAAGAAATAAAGTCGTTTTTTTTTTTGGGGGGGGGGGGTGGTGGAGGAACAAAACAAGGAGGGGAATTCTTGGGAGACTATTTCCTCCAACAAAGACGACGGATTTTCATTCGTTTTTTTGCAACATTGTGCTTCGGAAGACCCCAGCTGCTGCAGCAGCAGCAAGCAGCAGCAGCAGCTCCCCCAACTCATCACCAACAACCCGGCCCCGATTCTGCTTTCCGTGGCTCTTCCAAGACCGTGTCGGAGTGCGAGGGGTTTCTTTATTTGTACTATATCTAAATAACAAACGAACAACCTTCCACCCCCCCCTACACTGTTATTCCGCGTCCGTCTCGTTCCAACCATCCTCCAGAAGAAACCTCAATCCCCCTCTTTTGCTGCGTCCTTCCACCCAGAGCAATGATGCACCGCTTACATTTCCTAAGCCTCCAGTACTTTGACGCCATGAACAACAACGGGACGCTCCTTGGTTTCAAGGGTGAGTTTTTTTATCGGCGATTTGTGCTCTCGCTTTCTTTTCATTTGCATTTTCATCGTGTTTATTCTTCTCGTCGGGAGGGAACTTCGCGTTGTGATTGCGGGCTTCGTTTCACTTGCACGTTCGTTTTGGTGTGGGCGAGATTTGATGATCTTCTGCATTAACAACAACAGCGTTCTCCTTGTACGATGTTACGTTTTGCTATCCGGCCACCAGAGCTTCTTCGAGAAAGAGTAGACGATACCAGAGTGGATGTCGGGGGTAGGTGTTTAACCAGGGGATGAGTAAGGGTGACCATAGTTGTGGTTCTTCACCAGACGTTTCATTCTTTTGAAGTTGTTCACCGCGTCAGGCGGCGGTCCTCCTTCGCTCCGTCTCAACGAGCTTTGTGACTTTGGCCCTGGGACACTTTGGGACACCGAACTACTTGTTGCACCGTCTTGTGCATCGTTAAGCTTTTCGGGGATTATTGTTTTAGATGTTTTGCGACGTTTTTTTTTTACCGTAGGGTTTTATACACTTTGCTGCTGCTGCTTTCGTGTCGCATTTAATACGAAACGTGCGCGCCATTCAGAACCGTCTTCCCTGCGTGTCACATTGAAGGCAAGCAAGCACGTACGGCTGGGCATGCAAAACACCAGCAGCATTGTCTAGACTTTATTAACAATACTCAAGTTTCATAATAACCAGTCGGGAGAACGGTACTACGATATCGACCCCCGGCGATCTGAGCTCGATTGCCGGCCACGGCGAACATCAGTGGCGAGTGATGTCTGAACCGGTCTTAGGTACCGCTCGCCCAAGCCATTAAATAACATCCATTGTCCAGTATGATGAAGTATGGTCAAACAAGGCCTTAAGCAGTGGATTTACAAAGGGCCGTACGTTTATTTCTATGTGCACTCTTTTTTAAAGGCATTATGCATACATCTGTTCAAGATAATCGCAATTGCTGAGGGTCCTAGGTTAAACCATAAAGGGTTAGCCATTGTGGGCCTTATCTTGAATAAATATTTACCTCCGAACAACAATTAGGTTTCCTCAGCCACCCTCAGGGTTGCCTCCTACAATAAGAGCTCCCTTCATTCCAGCCAAGCATGTTGTACCTTTAAGTCATAAACTTCACTGAAAGTAATTTGAATCTACAATTCTCCATTGAAACGCGATCATATGCAATTAACTATTAGACACAATTCCATGATGTTGTGTTTTCACACCTGATGATGATTGCTTGTGTTGCAGTCGAAACGTCGTGATAATTTTATTGTTTTATATTTTTATTATTTTATTGTTTCCCTTCTACGTGACTTTACCGAAAGAACCGAGAATTTAAATCCCTGCAGTCACGAAAGCTTTAAATCAACATCCATGATGTTTCTTAACATATACAGTAAAAATATGTACTGTATAGACTATGAGCCTCTAGGTGTTCACCTGGTTAATTAAAATGAGCTTAAAAGCATTGGCATTATGAGCAAGCACAACTTTGTACCGGTTTTTTGCCATTTTGGGTCTCATTGGTAGTGAAAGTTGTTATGAAGGGCTGCTGGTTTGCCAGTTGTTATTAGTAAAGAGCACTCCCTCTGAACGACATGGCCCTGCCACTTTCAGAGATAGAATTTAAATCACCAGCGTTGCATGCACTTTATATACGAATTACAAATGTATAGGAATTCCATTTTAATTCACAATTTCTGCCTGTCGGCAACAACAAAAAACGCCTATGTAACGGTTTGGTTATATGATGTTTTTTAAAAAAAAATTATCTAGCATAATCATAGTGTTGTAATTACTTTTGGAATGTGGGACCTGGTCTGTTAACTGATTCATTACATTGATCTTTCAAATCCACTTTACAGGAATATTAACAATGGAGGTTTGTAACTGTACCGTAATACGTGGATAGTAAAGACGTGAGCACCAAGTATTTCTCTGTTTTAATCTCTGAAATAACTTTGCATTCGAGTCCGTGCCATTATTGAGGTACAACAAACATTTCCTCTCTATACATTTCCCATAACGGATGCACAACAAAACGTGTTTGCAAGGAACCTTTGGGGTCATTTGCCGCTCTATTTGGGAGGAAACATTGAAAAATCACTTCAGGAAATGTAGCACTTTTTTTTTTAGATCCACAAGGTAAACATGTTCGTAAGATAAACACGAGTGGGTGGGAAGTATACGATGTCTTAAAGGCATAAGAACACGCGCTTGACGATCTTATTCTCGACCAACACGCTCAGAGGGTCTCGGTAAACCGTCAGCTCTTGCGAATGGTTACATACGCAGTGCACCATGAATTTTCGAAATGTAAACAAATCTATTTAGTGTTTTTAATTTAGCGTTGAGACTGAGGATTGCGAGAGAGACGAAACGCGGAAGGGGGGGGGGGTTGTGGTGTTTTTAGAGTGGCCTGCCATTCTTCGCATGTTTGCACATTAAGGGGAACGTGACTGTCCGTGCTTTGGCGTCACGACGTGTAAATGAACGGCACAAGTGAGATGTGACAGGAAGGATGTCCGTCACCTCGTGCGTACTTTTGTTAGAGAGTCATTTCCAAAAAAGCTGGTGGGGGCAGGAGGGTGGGTGTGCAGACACAGGGTATGGGGGTGCGCTTTCAGGATGCTGACAGATCGTGCTTTAATGGCTGAGGTCTTTACAGTATTTTCAGAAGTGCCTCTGGGTTTTTTTGTTTGTGTGTGTGTCCCTTTCGCCTACCCCCCCCCCTGTCTCTCTCAAGATGCCCTTTAAACTTTGACCTTACCGGCCGTGAAGGCAGGCAGGCGGGCGGGCAGTCGCTTTTTCTTTGATTCCCGCTGGCCACGGCTCAGGTTTCGGTGTGGCTTTACGGAGGCAGACGGCCTGCGGGGTTGTGAGAGGCGTTGGGGGGAGCCATGTCCACCTGCTTTCATCACTCTTGGGATGCGCAGCAGCTTTCGCTTCGGCCAGCCTCGGGAGTGTCGCGTAGAGGTCTCTCTGCAGGCGCTGCGTCTCCATCAAGCGGTCCCCCCCTCCCCTCCCCTCCTCCCAGTTGCGGTCATCAAGCTCTAGGTTCTAAAAGAAACCTCCAGGAGGAGTCCTCTTTAAGAGTAATAATGCACACAAGGTGATTTCTTCAGACAGTAATATGGCCCCATTGTGACCATAGGATTATTTCCCCCCGTCGTGCCTTGCATGCTGTGTGACATCACTTGTTTGTTCTTCTTGTCAGCCTGTATCTTTCCAATTCTGGGCAAAGGTCTCCCACATTTTCTTCCAGCCCCTTCCTTTCCTTTGTTGCTCCGGTGCAGTATTGGCCTCCAAAAATCTGTTTTATTTAATCCCGCCATCTCCTCCTCCTCTGCCTTCCTCTGCTTATTTTGCCCTCTCGCGGTCTCCACTCAGTAGAACATCGCGATACGACGTGTTTGACGCGCACACAGCCTTGTTTTAGACCACCGACTCAAAATATTCAACACTGCGGCCATTCTATGTTCTACAGCAGCAGGACAGCGAGACAACTCTGTGACTTCATGCTCGTTAGGAATCACCAGTGCACTATAGCCATCGTTGCTTACTGCTTCGCTGCCTCAGGGGCTTTATGTTGACGAGCCCTCACCAATTACCGCAGAGACAAGTTTGGCCCTGCCCAAGGGCGACAACATACCAACTCTTAACACTTTCTATGAATGATGAGACATTCGTCAGCCAGTTCTTTGCAGCTGCGATATCAGTTTGAAATTGAATAGCTTTACAACCCGCAGGCAGGCCACAGAGAGAGATGACACCTACCTTCCAAGTGCCACACTCTTGTGGGCTCCGTGTGATATTTTGCAGTTGCCTTGTAGGCTTGGCGAACCTCAATGTACCTCTTATTCACCGCCTTTGAAGCATGGCGATAACTAGTGAAATGATTAGTCGTATCGCGAGAAACCATGTCACCCCAATGTGTAATGGTGTTGTCTCTGTACAGATTATACACCACACGTAAGTCAGATCTGCAGATTGCGTGTGGTGTAGTGAAGTGTGGCTACTCCCACCTCTTTCAAGATGTCTGGTGAGTGTGGAAGAGTAGGCAAAATGTCCTTTAGAGGGGCTCTCAACAGCTGCCTCATGTGGAAGCCCTTCCGCTAGCAATGGCGTGACAAAGCAATTGTAGGGCTGTATCTTTATCCTTTTCAAAGACAATTTCTTCCTTCTGAATATTTATAAAATACCATTTCCAATGCGTGCCATGATGGAAGAATAAAGAAGAAACCCTCAATGTTCACACAATGGAATAACCCCCCCCCCTCCCCCTACAAACTTCGTACACATTAAAGTTGCCGACTAATCATTTTAATTTAAAACCATGAAACATTCACTTTCATCACTAAAAGCAGCCCGGGCCAGGCATTCGTTCATAAGTGTCAGTTCGGGGTGTAACACTGAGCATAGATCAAACGGTCACGTTAAAACCGCAAACCAGTTACCCGAGGAAGGGTGGAATGTCTGGCATAGCTGCTACTGCAGAGAGCGCCACCATGGCTGCCACGGGTCACTTGGGCCCGAGGGCCTTTACTGATGGCACCACCATTGTGGAGTGTATGCTCCTGACAAATGTCCGCGTTTGGCTTTGAAGCTGCGTAGCGTTACGGCGCGAGGTTCAGACACGTGTACAGTTACTCTGGAGGGAGAAGAAAGGGCCTGCTGGATTTGATGAGTCTGTCGGGCCTCGGGGCCCGATCGTGTCCCCCCCCCCCCCCCCCACCGTGATTCCAGAACAGGGTTCACCGCGCGGGGCTTGGAACTCTTTTTTCGTAGCGTTTTGCTCGATCGCGGTTCTTTTGCCAAAGGTAATGTTGTGGCTGAGTTTCGTATGGCTCGAGTGTTGCCTAATTCAGACTGAATATAATGAAGCCACTTTGTGTTGTGTAACCAGAATGAATCGGGGAGGCAGCACTGGCGGCAATATTTGTTGAGCGCCGCGTTATTGTCCTGGCTCTTCATACACACGTTCTTCCAGTTTCACTAATTCGACC